CACCAATCTCAAAAAGTGACTCTGGGCAGCTAACAACTTTAAAAAACAGCAAAAAATGCAAAATGATTGGCAGCTGAGATAAATAAATTAATAAAATCAATACAGATATTGATAGCTTAATACATTTTTGTGCCATTATGATGTTTATTAGCTTTTTGAGCTGAACCAGAATCTAACAATCATTAAAATGTTGTTGTTTCACAGCAGAAATAAGCATGTGCTTAAATCATCTTCCCTGAAATTAAATGTACTTTGAAATAGTTAACTTCATTTCTAAGTATGATCTAGACCAGTGTTTCTCAACCTTGGGAACTTTAAGATGTGTGGACTTCAACTACTGGCCGGCTGGGGAATTCTAGGAGTTGAAGTCCACACATCTTAAAGTTCCCAAGGTTGAGAAACACTGGTCTAGATCATACTGTATCATTTCAGTGAAAATCTATTCACAGTTTACTGAAAAGCAGCAATGCTGTATTGCTCCATGAGGCAATCTAAATCCACTCTTGGATACAGGGGTGTTCACAGGGTCTGGTGAACAAAAAATTATTTTGCTTTTAATTGTTAGCCACCCAGAGTCATCTGTATGAGATGGGCACCTGTATAAATTTATTAAATAAATAAATACCCTGTGGACACCTCTGGCTGGGTAACTTTATTAAAAAGTACAGTCTCCTTTGAGTTTGAGTCCTGATAATTTCATGGACACCTCCATGTAGTTTTATTGGCTAAAAGAAAATAATTTATTGCCTTCTGGGATTTTTTTTCCTGTCCCCAGTCTGGCTTACAACCCTCATGTTCCCTGGAAGTTTCCCACCCAAATTCTCACCAGGGTTAGCCTTCCGCACCTTCTGAATCCAGACTAAGTCTGAAAACACAAAAGTCAGCTGTATCTTAAATCTATCTTCTGTCTTGGGTGAAAACCATTATCCTTCTGGCTTGGCAAAGAGCAGAAGAAAGATATGATTTTGCTGCATTTTGGTTGGTAAAGCTTGTGGATTTCACCCAAGACAATTTGGAGATATATCTGGCCCTTGTGTTTTCTAAACTAGGAGATCACTCATTGCTTCTTCATCCTAAAATGCTAGGTTGGATGCCTGCAACACCTATGAATGATTAATGGTATACAAACTGCATCCTGGGACTTACTTTAAACTGCAGACCCCATGACCATGCCATTTTGCCTAATTTGGGGGACCTTTTGTCTTCTTTTTTAATTTCTTGCTTTTGGAATCACCTAAATTGACAAAATTCTGGAGAAGCTGCACTTCCTTTGCCATGCTTTGGTTGGTCCCATGCCAGAGTTTGTTAAAACTACTTGCTAATGGAGTGTTGAAATTATTAGAAGAATTGTACTCAGTGTTGAATTATTGCATGCTTTGTTCACTGTGAGCTCTTCTACAACTGCTCATATGACAGAAGTCAGGCAACTGAACTATTCAAGATGGAAAACTCTTTATGGGTTAATGTTTTCCTCATCTGACCATTTTTGAAATTAAACTATTGCAAGCCAATGAAACATATGAAAGGACTGGTTTCTGAGCCAATATCTGCCATTCTTTCTGCAAGGATATGACAAATCACCATATTCACCATCCTTTGTTGCCTCTTCGGGAGAAGTAGAATGTAGAATGAATTGTAGTTTAGCATAAACATTCGCCTGAAGAGGCTATTTGCCAACCTAGTTATTTCTAATAGTATTCCCTACCAAGTAAGCTTATCCTACCCAATAGGTGTTTGCCATCTAAGAAAGAAATTGATGCAGGACTTAAAAATTAGTAATCAGGACTGCCAGTGTTCTGTTCTGTTCTGTTCTGTTCTGTTCTTTTCAACACAGGTTCCAAGGTGGGTCTGAAAGTATGTAATAAAAATCTCTGAAGCCTTCATAGTGGCAAAGCAGGATTTCTAGTGATCAAAGGTTGGGCCTTTTTACATAATGCCGAGCATTTCAAGATTCTTGGTACAGAAAAGAACAAAATGGAACAAAACACAAAAAGTATGAGAAGGTAAAGTCACTACTTGCCCCAAACTGTATACATAGGGGAAAAGGCCCTGCTACAACCTAGACAGGGTTGATAGTAACAAAGCTGGATGCACTTTTAGATGCCATGCTAGACTGAGGCATTAGTCAAATGCTCAGTACCGTAACAGCTGGTGGCAACTTCTAGCTCACCGTGGCTGATTCTCCAGACATAAGTAAGTAAGGTGGGACCTGATCAGTACCTGGGTGGGAAACCAATGGGATATCTCAGGGCTATAGGCTAAATTGGGAAATTGAAAATCATCCCTGCAGAAGGTAATGCAAGCCACTCTATATCATTGCCAAGAAAACTATATGGCCTTGTAGTCCCTAAACGTAAAGCTCAGTTCAAGGAAGTTTTGACTTTTTAGTTCTCATACTTAAAGAATTTGAGGACGATTCTCCTTATTGTGAGAAAAAAAATTTTTTTTTTAGAAATTTAGAGTCTGTAGCTTTGACTACCTTGATGCAGAATTTTATTTTATTTATTTTATTTCATTATATATGAAGGGCAGGAAATTACACACCATTGTCTATAACTTAGGTCTGCTTGTCAGCATATAATTGCATCATATTAGTAGCACTTTTCTCCAGTTCAAACAGTGACAGACGTTCTAGATTTACTTTCATCAACAAATTCCAAATGCCTATTTGTGCAGCCATGACCCCAACACATGAGGGAGAGCGCCTCTAATCATAGAACTCTGCCAAGTTTCCACTGACCTCATCAATATCAAGGAGGGACAAACTCCAATAGTGTTTTTTAGCAATGTGGTACTTACTGTTTTGTGCAGGACTTCCTTCATCCATCACCAGAATGGTGGCTTGGTACTGAAATTTAAGAGTGGCCATAATTTCTGAGTCACAGTCCAAACTGCTGTTCACCTGCCAGGCCACAGGATATAAAGATCAGGAGAAAAGAGGCCAGAAGTTACCTTTAGTTATTAATCCATGGCAGAAAAGGGTAGTGGCACAAGTAAAGCTTATGGTATCTTCTATACATCTAAATGTACATTTCCAGTACTGCAGACATAAATTGATGTAAAGGAATTTACTCAAGCCTTACCTGATATTTACCCAGCAACTGATGTTCCATCCCAAAGACTCACCTGCAGATTTGGGCCATCCATTCTGAAGCCATAGGGTGGGCTCTGGTGGACTATATTATACTTCAAACTACTATTGATGTTGTCTGGATCATAGCAAGACAGAGAGAACATGATCCTCCCAACGGGAACAGTCTCTGGAATCTCAGTTCTAGAATTAAACAGAAATAATCGCAAGAGGAAGAAGCAACAAGAAGACAGAAAAGGAGATTTGAAGGGGGCAAATATATCCACCCTCTCCTCTCCCATTGATTTTTGGAAACTACAGTTAAAAGACTGTTGATAGAAAAAGTAGAACTTCAAGATTTCAAACAGGGCCACTAATTTAGTTTTGGTTTATGATGCCAAAGGACATGTGCCTTGAGCTCTGATTTTTCCAAATTGTTAGCCCATTGTTACTTAATTTGGATGACCTCCAAATGTGTGGGATTACACAGTCAAAGCCACCACAGCCCCTGGGGATGATGAGCTTTATTTGACTAAGAAATTTACCTGGATGCATTTACCTTTAATTAATCCCAAGTTCTCCTCCAACTTAGCTGTATAATTCCTATGCCTCCACTTAGCTGTGTAACTCCTGTACCTCAGTGGTCCTCCAAATCACTAAATCTACCACACATTACCCCTATGCAGAAAGTAACATGCCCTCAAATTGGTTCTGTAACTATATGTTTTATTGGCTCAAGCTGCCACAATTTCCTTGTGGAGACTTACACAAACACAGCAGGAGAACACAGGGGTCTTTTCAAGTTCTCCCGCTTCACAGTAATGTTGACAATGATGCTGGCATGATCGGTATGACTGAACATATTGTAGGCTTTTACCACCAGCTGGGTTCGGGCTAAGCTTGGATTGTGTTCCAGATCTAAGTAATATGTGGTCTTGATGATGCCTGTGCCTGTATAGTGAAATTTTTTTTTAAATATAATGTTATTAAAAATTTTAATTACAGTAGTAAAAACTAATACAAACTAAACTTAGAGAAAGAGAAGAGAATGG